TAATTGCTTTAAAATTTTCCACTGGATCTACTCTGTAATCGTACATTTCCAAACTTTGCGTCTGCCTACAAAGAGAAACGTTTTGTTGCAAAATAAACAATATCTGACTTTGCTTACCGCCGCTCATTTTGACGAAGATGTTGTTTTTCAACTATTTTTCTAATAAACTTCGTCTGATGATCTAGAATGTGAAATGAAATTCGTTCATTGACATATATATATGTCAATGAAACGGATATTTTATTTTAGTTTTAATGCGTAAAGTATCGACGTTAGTCCTGAAGAAAGTATGCCAACGTTTGTGACTTGCAGTGTTTGTGAAAAAACAGTTACAAAAGGAAAACTGAAATTTTATTATATCAGAACTCAAGAAGTTGACAAAAGACTTAAGCGTGGTTACTTTGAGTTACATCACCGAGAACTTGAGCAACCGTTAATCAACACAAACGTACATAGCAAATGTTATGATCGGTTATTTTACCATTCAAGAGTGGCATTGTCAAAAACAGTATCACCCGTAGTTCCCTTATTCGATCGTTCCAATATTTTATCAACCTTAATAACTAATACTTGCCTTGCAAAAGGAAATGCACAACACGTTGTTGGAAAATCGAAAAATAATTCCTCTATTTCATACTCAATCAATGAATTTGTTTCGAATAAAGAAAATTAGGATTTAACACAAATCGTTCGACTCACAAACTGTGTGTTAGGTAACACCTAACTACTATTCTTAACTTAGCTGAAAATTTTGAATTATTTTATTCTTAGATAATGGGAAGCACAATACTTGTATTACCAACTTAGGAGAAAAAAATTCCGCCAATACACAGAACCAAATTCCAATTTTAGGATATGTGTCAAACGCGAATGACGATGAACAAATAACTGTTCTATCAAAGTCACAATCTCATAAAGAAAAGTCGCAAAAAGTCGTGTTCTCCTACCCATCTAATACAAATCCATTATCAGATGACTTACCTGAATTAACTGTTAATGACATGGTAGAATTACTTCCACCGTCAGCATATAATATAAATGGAATTACACCGTTACCAGAGACTGTTGTTAAAATAGTGGCTTCAGTTCTTGAACATTTAGTAGAATGTGTCATGTTGACTGATCAATATGAGAAGAACGGAGAAATATCTACAGAAGTACCACCAGAACCTTTCAAACGTGTTTACACTCAACGTTCATTTTCGTCACTACCAGATCTAGAAATCCAAATGAACCAGCACCAATATTTATTTCAAACAATGGATGCATTTCCACGACTCGATGAAGGAGGTCATACCTTGAATGATTCGGCTTCTAGTTTAGAACTAATTGATACTCCAACAGTAAAATCTCGGAGATGGTTGCGTACATCCACGTCAAAACCTCTGTTGTATAAACGTAAGGTAATATTAATATTTATTGCATAATATGCATTGAAAGTTTTCTGCCTTCTTTTGTACTTTTAGTGCATTAAAAGTCGCCAAAGTTCTCATCCATCAAGCGTATGGAAATCAATGAACACAAATGGTCCGTGTCTCTTTGATGAAAATCATATATCCATTTTGTATAAGAATGCTATTAATGAATTACATGGATGGCTGTTATACACATTAAAAAACGGTGATCTACTACCAATGACCGATGTTAAGATAAAATACCAGGATATGTTAAAACGACGTCATGAAGCATATGATGAAGTTGTTCAAACTATTCGACTACGTCAGAAACTGGAAAATAATTTCAAAAATGAATTTCATTTTGTTAAACTGTCAAATAAGAAAGGGACGTATATTTGTTTGAATGACATTAGCACTTACGCACGGTTAGCGTTATCCTCAGCAAACGATGAATCGCAAATTAATGATCAATCAACAACAGAAAATACACGATCAACATATGAAACACTATTTGCTGCAATAAAATTTTTACGTAAAAAAATTAATGACGGTTTCCATGTATTTGAAACAGTGAATAAAAACAAGAATACATTAGCCGAGTTTACAATTAATTTATATAATGATTACGTGCCGTTGTTATTACGAAATTTTCTGGGTTTTTTAACAATTAATGATAAAAAATTTGACAAAATGCAGTACGATTTTGACCTTTTTAAAATATTGGACGAAGATTTATTCAGAAAATCACATAAATGGTTGAAAATAGCATCAGTTGGATATGATATAATGAACTGTAAAAACGATAATTATGTTAGTCCGAAGCATTATCTACTTGGAAACGAAGTGTTTAAACATGAAAGATCATTAGATTTGTTAACCATATTAAATCGTTTTGGACATACATGTTCATATCGCAGCATCGTGAAATTGCACCAACAAATAGCTGAAAAAGAGTCATTCTCGTCTAGTATACCCAAGTCAATGATACCAAATAGCTTTGGAGTCAAGGTTGCAGATAACTTTGACTTGAACAAGCAAACACTCCGTGGAGAAAATAGCTTACACATATTAAACCAAATTATCATTCAAAATCCAGAGAATGAAGAACAAATAAATACAACACCAGTAGTGGCATGTGACTCAGATAAAGACCTAGCAGAATGTGTCATGAGGGCTAATCCTCATGAAGAATC